TATAAATATTATATTTTAATTTTAAAATTCTTCATTAAGAATTGCTTCTAAATCAATATCTGAACTTTCTTCATTTTCTATTTGTTGTTGATTATTTAAAGATAAATTATTTTCAGCTTCCTTATTATCATAAAAATTCAAATCCATTAATTCTGCTATAAGCAGATCTTCAAGATTACAATCAAACTTATAAGCTTACAATACTTCACTCTTTATAGATACTTTTAAGTTACTTAAAACTATCTGGTACAAGATACAAACTAGTATTATTATAGCAGACTCAAATATATCTTTAACAAAAAATTTGCTATTTACAACTTCTAGTAGTTTTCTAAAGTCTCTTAACTATATACATATTTGAAAAAACTTAGTAGCATTATTAAAAAATTCAAATAAGCTTAAGTATAATATCTTTTATTTTCTTTTTATCTAAATACTTACATATTATAATTTAACCAAGTTTTATACTTACAGATTCTACTGCTATCATCTAATAACTAGCCTATTAAAGACTAAATTGCTAGTACAAACACAAAGTAGAAAATGCTCTTTTATATTCAGAATGTAGAAAATATCAAACAAATAAGGTACCAAATCACAAAAGCTATTTAAAAAAAATATACTAAGCTACTAATCAAGCTTATTTTAATAATTAATAGTATACTAAACTATTACAAGAACTTAGTCAAATTTAACAATATCAAACTTGACAATAATATTATAACTAATACTCCAACTATCAAAACACATATTCAGCAATACTTTAACAACTAAACAGCATTTTAATTAATTAATTAACAAATTTTAAACTTCTATTAGCAAACTAGGTATATTTTTAAATCTTATATCTAGTTTTACTAGTATTTTAATATTCTTTTAAAATTTTTAGCAGAGAAAATACTTATAATATTTAGTTAACTTTCCAATAATAAGACTTGTAGTCTCTCTGAAATTAGCTATAAGATGCTTAAAAAGACAAAGCCCAGCTTTATACAAGCTATTACTACACTCTTCAATCAATATCTCCAGATCTAGTCTTAATACTAATAAATAATATGTATGTGTTTATAGCACTGCTATATATTAATTTACTTAAGTATTAATAAAAGTTTGGAGCAGGTGCTACATCCAGGGTATTCCCTTAAATATTAAAATATATATATATAATTATAAAGTACAAGAAAGTTAATCTTTTGTATAACTAGGCAATATAGAATTATTATAAGATTATAATATATAAAAATAACTATTTAAACTAATTTAAGCAAATTTATAAATAGTATAATGTTTGGGAAAATGTACATCTTAAAATCTCTACTCTGTAGAGTAAACTAGGAAGATTTGTATAACATTAGACAATACTATTACAATAATACCTTGAAAGAGGGCATAGATTTGGTGAGTTAAGTATATACTTTATTAGAGTATATGCTAGATACAAGATATTCTTTATATATTAATAAATGCTAGATATATATAGTATTTACATATCTACTAATTCTAATAAATCTAATAATTCTATCGAATCTATCAATTCTATTGAATCTACTATATCTACTATATCTTCTACATCTAATAAATCTACTCAATCTACTAATTCTACTGCTATTTTCTAATATAATTACATGCAACCTTTAAAAAATATGCACCTGATCCTTAAATTTGATTATGATTATCGATCTTACTAATTCAATTGTTACAATAGTAAGAGTTAGAGTAAAGGTTATAGTTTAAATTAGAGTTAAATCAGAATTAGAGTTAAAGTTTTTTTATATTATAATTTTATAATATTTTTATATTTTCTAGTTATACTAAAGAAGATTTAGATTTTTTTACAACTATTTTTAAAATAATTGAAAATACAAAAAAATTTTTTTTTTTGCAAATATTTAAATACTTAAATGTTTAATTAGTTTAAACTAATTAAATATTCAAGTATTCAAGTATTTGCAAAAAAAATTTTTTTTGTACTCTTAACTATTTTAAAAACAGCTACAATTTTATAAATTTAAAAATTATCGAATTTAATAAATTAAAAAATTTTTATTTATAGTAAAATTTTAAAATATTAAATATTTTTAAAAAATTTTAATCAGATCTAATAACCTTTTTTTTTTTTTAATGATGACCTTCATTCGGTCAATATTTTACTGCTTGATTTTTTAAGTATTATAATTATTTCAGAATTTACAATAATGATACAACTAGCTATATATGCACTTTTGGTGTCTAATTTAAATAGTTCGCAACTAAGTTATTCTACTAATCTAAAGTTCTACACTAGCTGCTGTACCTATAGCCAAACTATGGAGTTGTCTATTTAAACTCTCTAATTATATCTTTCTACTTCCATAAATAGAAACCCCTAATAATTTAGACACATATAACTATTAGAACTACTTTATCCCTGGAGATAATCCCAGCTACGCACAGTATATATCCCACTCATATGCATCTGGTTAGGAAATGGGCAAAAATCAGATAATTTCAATTTACTATAGTAATCTACTCCTCCCCCCACCTGACTAGTTATACAAAATAATCATATAAATAATAAAATTAAACATTTTATTTATTAATTGATATAAAATCTATTTATATACTATTATGCTACCTTAATATTAAAAAAAATATTATTTTATACAAAATTAGCTTTAACAATTATGATACAAATTATAGCTAAAGTCTTAGGGTCCTTATTCGGTATTGTTAATCTCTTAAGAGTGTTAGAATAAAGTGATGTTACAAAAATGGAGCCAGAGGATTTAAATGGGTATCCCCCATAGTTAAGTGCAAGTACGGCAGCTAGTGTAGAACCTAGGGCAGACTACTTAAATAGGCAACCAAAAGTTGCATGTATAGCTAGTCGTACTCTCATTA